AGTCCAACTACATTCAATACACGCCTGTGAACCCGGGTGGAGACCTGGTTGGCCAGTAGTTTGGCAAGACCTGGGGACTCCTAGGCCTAGAGTCAGTGACATAGCCACAGAGGACTAGAGTGGAGAGTGAAGCATCCAGCTGATAGGAGGAGAGGGCATATGCACATTAACACCCACACTTGCAGATAATACCTACTTGACCTGGATTCAATGACAGATCAGAGCTCAACTAGAAGAAGAAAGAAGAGGGAAAAAAGTAATCTGATACAATCTGATGAAATTTACCTACACCTATGGATGCAGTAGCTCAAAAGAGGGAACAAATTTTTACAGCAAGGTTCATTCTCACCTCCTCGGTACACAGGGTACACAGGGATGGGCAACTTGTACATTGGCTACCCAAAATGTGGGCCTACAAAGGCAAGAAGTGATTGGTTTACAAGCTTTCAAGAGGGAACCTAGATCCAGAGGGCGTGGAGGAAGGCAGAATCTCCACTGAGTAGTATCCAATCTGTCTGGGCGGGGCTGATGAAAGGAGATGGGGATAGCACTCATGTGGTACAATAGTGAAAAATTACTATCAGGACTGACTGTGAGGGTTGGAAATGTAAAGGTAGTTCTGTAGCAAAAGGAGGGCAGTGGTTGACTTTGCAGGCCAGGAGTAGAGGCCCCTGGGACCATCAAGGGAGAAGAGCGGAATGTGGGACCCTACCCAGAGAAAGTGATGCCAGAGATGGAGGCAGAGACAATGATGTGGAGACACGGAGCAGCTGGAAACTCTAGACCCAGACAGGAAGAGGGGCTGTGTGTTGACGACCAAGGGGCAGGCTTGTGGGGTGTACCCTTTGGTTGGTTTATCATGCATGGAGGGGATTGTAACCATGGCAATGAAATGATATATGATAGGATGAATGTAAAACTAATGTTCTCCCGTGTAAACGATCACATAATTCGCAATAAATTAAAAAGAAGTCCATGGGAAATGAAATGAAAAGATAATGGAAATTTTCTATAAACTTTTTGAACCCCACTTGTATAGTCATAATAATGTAAACACTGAACACTGGTTTAAGCATATTCCAGTACTACTCTATCAGGAACATTGAAGGATGGGAAATGTGCATGTAGTTGATAGCAGTGCATGGGGAAGATGTACAGGAATGCCTAAAACTGAAAAGTTTAGAGACAGCAATGCAAGTTATTTCTTGCACTATCGAGAGAAAGGTAGACAGAAAAAGAATCAGCTAAGAGGCAAAAGAGATTGCCTCTATAGAAGGAGAAACTGGGGCCATGTTGGGGGAAGAGATGGCTTAGGACTGGGTTTTACTTATCTAGTTATAGAGTTAGTTGACTCTTTAAACTGCTTTTAGAGCTGATAAAAACAAAAACCTCTAAAATTCTAAAGACTTATGCTATCAATGTTCTTATGTGAATTTACAGTCTAGTGAGAAAGGTAGCTAAGTAGCTCTTTAGTAACTATGTAGCCTTACCCCAGGCTGAATACACACGTGTCATAATTATACTGTACCCTTGTAAGCAGTACACTGACTTGAAGCAATGACTTGCCAGGTGTTAACTTTAAAGAAATATATTGGTGAAATGTTTCCAAGCAACTAACAGAGATGAAATGAAAAACAAGCTCACTGGAGTCAGAGAAAATTCATTAAAAAAAAAAAAAAAACCACACCTCATTTAGACATTTGTTAAGGTTTTTGTTTTATTTAAATAGAAGAATAAATTTTCTTCTTTAGGAATATAATTAGATGGTACAAATAAACTCCAGAGTGGCTCCTAACCAGGGCAAATCTAATTTTACTTTGTGTAACGTTTATAAGTTGGGCTCACAAAGGTTTTCACAACAAGCATCAGAACAGTAGAACAATTCTTCTAAGTTTAAGTCTTTATTATTAAGTATGCCATTCCTGTTTCTGAGGCATAATCGATTCTAAATGTTAAGAAAGAACAGTTATTTTTTTTTAACCTTAAAATAGTGGTACAAGCTGACTACCAGAATATAGTTTAATGAAAAGTTTTTGTAGTAAGTGTTCATTATAGTTTTTGCAGTTGGATTTATTTGTTCTACACAGTGATATCAAATCAGCCAAAATAGCTAAAACTTATACTATATTTAAAATGTCATTTCCTCAATTCCCAACATTTTTTTCTTTCCTGATTTTATGATGTGGAGACTAGAAACGTACTGATTTTTCCTACATGAAGGATATAAACATGCAAATATACTGTTTAAAAGCCAGATCAATCTTTACCTGACTGTATCTGTATCTATGTAGTCTAGACTATTTTAATTCAGCTTTGATTATTCTTATTCATATGGGGACAAAATCACAATGGAAGCAACCCACTTACCTTAAGGTGAAGTCATTAGTTTCAACTTCCTTCAGCAGGTATTAAATAGACTACTTATTGGGGGAAAAGACTCTAGGTGTGGCATTATAGAATCAGCACTGGACTGTGAGCCACAAAGTTGGCAGTTCAAGCCCACCTGTCACTCCTTGGAAACCCTATACAGAATTGCTATGAGTCAGAACTGACTAGGCAGCACTTGACAAAAACAACATAGAGGGAAAAGTTTCTCTTTTCAAAATTGTCTTTTTTTGCTTATCTTCTCAAATTAATGAGAAAACAGTCAGAACTGTGACATTCCTGAGTTACCCGTTGGGAAAATTTAGAAAATCAGTAATTCAGTATAGATGTTTTTAAGGTGCTGTTATAATGTCCAGGTTTATAAGAACTAAAACCTGCTAGTCATATTTAGAAGACAGGCAGTTCAAATCCACCAAGCCACTCTGCATGAGAAAGATTAGGCTATCTGCTCCTGTAAAGGTTGAGTCTTCGACATCCAAAGGAGCAGTTCTACTTTGTTGTCCTATAGGTTTGCTATGAATGGGAATCCATCTTATGCTAGAAGAAATGCCCCTTAACATATTACTCTCATCATATTGCCAATTCCTTCTGTGTAGGAGTCCTTGTTGTGCTCTTTTAATATGAGTCAAATTATGTTGTGATTCCTCAACTTCATTATAAATCCTGACTCTTTTGCTGTAAAGTACTGTGGCAACAAGGTGGGAGTGAACTGGGAAACAGGTCCAGTGTGTTGGTGTTTAAACTGCAGCAGAACACTTAGTTTTAATTCTGTTGATGCCTCACTTTCAGTACCAGTATCCTTACACTAACACTTACAGAGGATAAATCAATGAGATTCCACTTGTCTTGGTTGGAAGGCTATTTTTCTTTTTCTTTAATCATTCAAAAACTTATCTTACAATTTCACCAAGATTATTCTATCATCTCAAATTCTTTGAGGTAGAATATCAATTCTCCTCTGCTATGTCTCTTCTAAGGAGCTCTGGTAGTGTAGTGGTTACGAATCCGGCTGCGAACCTTAAGGTCAGCGGTTCGAAACTACCAGCCGTTCCGCGGGAGAAAGATGAGGCTTTCTACTCCCGTAAGGATTTACACCCTCAGAAACCCTGTACAGGGTCACTATGGGTCGGAACCGACTCGACAGCACTTAACAACAATAACAACATGTCTCTTCTGACTGTCCTTCACAGCATGCCTTTCCCTTGTTTGTTTTTAAATCCTGAGCTCACTTTCAGTACAAATTTTCATTTAGAGTCCTTATGGCCCTTAATTTTAGAATTGTTGCTAAAGGGCTGCTTTGCATTTGCTTCTGCCAAGAACCTTAAATTTCATTGGTTCTAGATCAACATCATATTGCTGATTTGGAGATTACTGTAACTGCAGAGCTGGTATAAATTTGGACTATCTGCCATGTGTGTACAATATACCTATTAGAGCCTGGATTATACAAGATATCATTCATAACCCTGGTCAGAGAGAAACAACTTATCACATACCTAGAATGTGGACAAGATATTCTAGCTCCCCTTTCAAGAATTAACTATAGTTACTCCTCTCAGGCTCTCCTGTTGTTGTGAACATTAAAATCCTAACCTCTAGGGCTCATGTTATTAGTTGCAGTATACAAACGTCCCTTCAGTACTGCTACAGCTTTACTGAGCTTACTATTCTACCTTCATACTGTTAAAGCTCCAGAAAGTTTTTATTTCAAAGAGAAAATTTTTAAAAAAGAAAAAAAGGGAATAAAGAGAAAGAACACAAAATCTAACCATTCTAAACATTCAAAAATTTTCAAGATTAAGAATAGCCCAATGGAGTCCTGGTGTGGTACTGGACAAGCAGTGGACTGCAAACTGCCAAGTTCAGTGGTTCAAACTTACCAGTTGCTCCTCAGAACCCCTATACAGTGTTGCTATGAGTTGGAACCAACTTGACAGTACTTAACAACAATAACCAGACACAAATATTTTGAGATTTTCTAACAGTGTCACATTCATCATAGATATATAGTAATAAAGACTATTTACATCCAGCTGATCTAACAATTCTGGAACATTTAAATCCACATAATGTAACTACTGGTGGTGGTGGTTATGTGCTGTACAGGGTTTCCGAAGCTGCAAATCTTCACAGGAGCAGAATGCCTCATCTTTCTCCCGCTGAACAGCTGGTAGTTCCGAACTGCTGACCGTAAGGTTCACAGCCCGATTCATAACCACTACGCTACCAGAACGCCTTAATGTAACTATTAGTGGTCATATATTCAGTGATAATCTCCATATGCACCTCAACTGAAATCTATTCTTATACAACTGACATTCAAATTTGTTTAAACTTAAGAAAAAGTTTGCTAACAAGATCTTAATAAAAAAGGTTCTAAGTGTTTGTTGAGTAAAAGAATGAATAACTTTTCTGTCAATTCATGAATATATGACCATTTTTTTTTCCTTAAAAGAAAATGACCAAAAAAAACCTTCTTTTTTACAAAGAATATATCTTTTTTTCAAGCCATATACCGTGACAAAATCTAACACCATGAAAGAGAGGGTTTGTTTTATATATAAAGAAACACACACTTTTAAGATATCACTACCCAAGTGGAGTAGAATTCTAACCTGTAGGTTATTTAGAGGTTCCATCTTCATGACTGGGCCTAAGGTGTTAAGAGGCAGGGAGACATCAATGCTCTGGTTTGGCATCAGTGGTGTATGGATGGCCAGAGGAGTGCTGGGGATAACACCAAAGCTAGGAGAAGACATGAAGAGATCACAAAAGTTAAGTCAGGGAACAAGATTAAGCCACGTCTTAGGGTTTCCATTTTTTTTTATGCCATTTGAAGGAAATATAACTTTAATAATACAGTTAAATGGAAGGAATCACAAGAAACAAGTGCCTGATTCCAAATGCTATAACACTGGATGTGGCAGTTAACCAAAACTCACTGTCTTTTGCTAAAGTTATATGAGATCATAGAATAGAGCTAGTCTTATCTTAGCTCCACAAACAGGAGTCTGCATCACTGCTAATAATACCTCTTGTACTTGAGTGAATATCTCAGGGGAAGAAGAACAAGACATTAAGAAGAGTCACCGTAAAGAAATTTAGTTGTCAACAGTTTTAGGCTACATTTCTGAGGATTTAGAAATTCTGTATTCTGTTTCAAATTTTATTTGTTAAACAACTGACCTTAGCAAGGAACTCTGGTAGTGTACTGCTTATGAATCAGGCTGCTAACCTCAAGGCCAGCAGTTTAAAACTACCAGCAGTTCCATGGGAGAAAGATGAGGCTTTCTGCTCCTATAAAGATTTACAGCCTCAGAAACCCTATGCAGGATCACTACAAGTTGGAACCCAATTCCACGGCACACAACCACCACCAGCAGCAAGAAATAAGCTTCATGAGATTTAGTTTTCTCTTAAATGATACAATGCAGTAATAATCCTTTGCAACCTGGACTTCAAACTGGTTTATTCCAATTTTACACCTGCTGGGAATCTGTGTTTCCACCTCAGATATACTGAATCAGAATCTTACATTTTAAATAAGAATCATCCAGGGACTCCTGGTATGGCACTAGGATAAGTGCAGGACTGCAAGGTCAGTGGTTCAAACTCACCATTTTCTCCTCAGAAACTCTATACTGGGTCACTATGAGTTGGAACAAACGCCACAGCATTTAACAACAATAGGGATCATTTTGAAATGTGGATTCTGATTCAGTATGTCTGGGGTGGAAATGCAGATTCTAGGCAAGGGGTCAAAGTTGAATGAACTTGTTCAAAGCTCTGTTTACAATCTACTTCACAGGTCTGCTTGTTGTTCTTGTCATTAGGTGCCATAGAATTGGTCAGGACTCATAGCTACCCTATGAACAGCAGAACCAAACACTGCCTTGTCCTGTGTCATCCTCATAATTGTTGTTATGTTTGAACCAATTGCTGCTGCCAATGTGTCAATCCATCTCGTTGAGGATTATCTGCTCAGTTTACAGATTGAAAAAGTATGGTGAAAGGATATAACTCAATGTACTAAAAGGTATCAAAGTGCTGGCTAAATGCCTGAATCCTTTAAGAGCAGAGTTAATTACTACTCCTGAGTTATACTGCGACTGCGCATGCCATAAGTGTGTAGTAAAATAAATGATGGTATTTCCATTTGTGTTGCTAAATTTGATAGCAGTTTGTAAAATTATACATAAAAAGATGCACTGAAAGAATAAGAAATTTAGTTACATTCATACTCCCTCTGCCTGATATTCCCTTCCAGACATTTCTAATTAGTTACCCAATGGTATTGGCTCTTGGCTACATTCTATTCTGCAGGCCAATTAATCTTTCTACAAATCCTATTGATTATAATAAGATTAGTCAAATGTATTATAAAATGTTTGTCCAATGTTTAGAATCATAGCAAAGTCTTTAGAATAAAGATTGAAATCACATCTATTAACTTTTTACCATATATTATTTCTCCTGTATTTTCTAGAAAGCTTTATTAACATTCAATCAACATAAAGCACCCTCCTTTGCGTTCTGTGAATGTCATTAAATTGGCTTTTTATGGGTGGTGGTGGTTGTTACATGCCATGGAGCTGGTTCTGACTAATAGCCAGCCTTTATTGGGTTAGCTTTCAAGGCAATAAATCTTTGCAAGAGCAGAAAGCCTCATCTTTCTCCCATGGAACAGTCTGTGGATTTGAACCACTGACTCTGCAGTTAGCAGTCCAATGCTTATCCTACAGCACCACCACCAGGACCCCAATTCTCACTAAAGATGGAAATACTGCTTTCAGAAGTTTATACACCTAGATGAAGGATATGTCAAGAATACCTTCATTATTTTACGTTTTTATTTAGTTATTTCTATGATTTTGTAGCAATCCCTTTTGACTTATCTTTGTGCTAGCAAGCATCAGAAATTAAAATGAAAAAATACTTGGCAGAAAATTAAACCTGAATCTAATCAAGCATACAGATCTGCCTCCAACTTACAGTTGTATTAACAAAATTCAGACTATGGGAAACTCCACAGACAAAAGATCTAATTTCTTCTACAAATACATTTGAGGGATCAAAGAATGAGAGAAGAATGAGAAACCTACAAGTAAAAGACTTAGAGACAGCTGCATATGTAGCATACTGAGACCACCATCATGTCAGCAGCCATGAACATCAGAACCAGGAGCTTCTCAGCCACAACTCCGAAAAAAGGCAACTTCCTGCTGGATCATGTTGGTAAATGTGCAAGTTTTAAAGAGAAATGCATAAGGTGTCTCCATCACAATAATTTTGAAGATGCTTTGTGAATGAATCAATCAAAGAAATATTTAGAATACAAAATAGAGAGGTAAGCTAATGACAAAGAAGCTGATAGAAAAACTGGGATTCAAAGATTTGCTTGATGACATGTGGAAAGATCTGGAGTTAGAAAACCAAAAGGGAAGAACACATTCAGCATTTCTCATGCTGAAAGAACAGAAGAAAAAATTAAAGCCTCAATTTGCAGTATTGAAGGATTCTATGGGCAAAATATTGAATGATGCAGAAAGCAGCAAAAGAAGATGGAAGGGATACAGAGTCACTGTACCAAAAAGAAATGGTTGATGCTCAACCATTTCAAGAAAAACCAGTGGTCCTGAAGAAAGAGTTCAAGCTGCACTGAAGGCTCTAGGAATTGACAGAATACAAATTGAAATCTTTGAACAAATTGCGAAGCACTGGTGGCACTCATCCATTAAAGCCATGGAATTGAGAAGACAGCTACCTAGCCAACCGAATGGAAGAGATCCATATTTGTACCCATTCCAAAGAGAGGTGATCCAGTGAAATATGGACATCATCAAACAATATCATTAAAATCACATGCAAATAAAGTTTTGCTAAAGATAATTCAAAAGTGGATGCAGCAGTACATCAACAGGGATCTGCCAGAAATTCAAGCCAGATTCAGAAAAGGACTAGAGGTATCAATGCTGGATCTTGGTTAAAAGCGGAAAGCACCAGAAAGATGTTTACTTGTGCTTTACTGATTATGCACTATGACTTTCAACTAGGTGAATCATGGCAAGCTACGGATTAACACTGCAAAGAAAGGGTATTCCAGAACACATAATTATGCTCATGAAGAACCTGTATATAGACTAAGAAGCAGTTGTTTGAACACAGCAAGGGGATACTGAATGGTTTAAAATCAGAAAAGGTTATGTGCCAGGGTTGTATTCTTTCCCCATATTTATTCAATCAGTATGTTGAGTAAATAATTGGAGAAGCTGAATTATATGAAGAAGAACGTGCTATCAGAATTGCAGGAAGACACATTAACAATCTGAAATATGCAGATGATACAGCCTTGCTTGTTAGAAACTTGTTATTAAGTGCTGTCGAGTGAGTTTCAACTCATAGTGATCCTGTATATGGCTTCCGAGGAGTAGCTGGTTGGTTTGAACTGGTGACCTTGTGGTTCATAGTTCAGTACTTATCCTACAGTGTCACACCAGTAGTCTCTAGACTTAAAACACTTAGTGATAAAGACCAGAGCTTTCAGTATGGATTGTACCTCAATGCAAAGAATACAAAAATTCTCAAAACTGAACCAATAAATAACATCATGATAAATGGGATAAAGATTGAAGTTGTCAAAGACTTCATTTTGCTTTGATTCACAATCAACACTCATGGAAGCAGCAGCCAGGAAATCAAATGATGCATTGCATTAGCAAAGTGGAGGGGTCAACGAAAAAGAGGAAGATGCCCAATGAGATGGACTGACACAGTTGCAGCACCAGTGGGATCAACCTTAACAATTGTCAGGATTGTACAAGACTGGACAATGTTTCGTTCTGTTCTGCACAGGGTCGCTATGAGTTGAAGCCAACTTGACAGTATCTAACAACAATACTGATGATGGGTAAAAGGGAAAAGGGATGGAGAAAGAAAAAAGATAGTAAGTTACAGTAAGAAACTAATAGACTACCTATAAAAAATAGGGACTAAGGGTATTTTGGAGTCCTGGTGTGGTGCTGTGGGCTAATGTGCCAGACTGCTAAGCTGTTTGAACTGCAAGGTTCAAGCTCATCAGCTGCTCCTTGGAAACTCTATACAGGGTCTCTATGGGTCATAATCAACTCAATGGCATGCAACAACAACAACAACAAGGGTATTTTATACAGGAATAAGTATAGCTTATTGTTGTGCTGTTGGCTAAGTGCCTTGTTGGGTTCCGATTCATAGTGACCCCGTATAGGGTTTCCAAGGAGGGCTGGTGAGTTTGAACCCCCAACCTTGTGATTTGTTAGCAGTCCAGTGCTTATCCTACAGAGCCACACCAGCAATCAGAATTACTAGTAGAAAAGATTGAAAAAAAGCAAAGACAAATAGAGATGAATGAAGGCGGTGCAGACTTCTTATATTACAATAGATCCCCTCCTCCCCCAATTGTTTTGGCCTTTAATACGGCCAGCTTTTCAAAGTGGCTGGAAATATAACTGACTTTGGCAGAAGAAAACACAGCCTTTCTCAATATTTAAGTGATTTCTAACTTGCCAAGCTCTCAAATCCAGGGTACAAAAGTATTTCCAAAAGATTAGAAATAAAATCAGATAATGAGAAAGACAAATTATCATTGATATATTTTATTAAACCCACTTTAAGAGTACAATTATGGAATACCTAACAGGGGTTCTAGAACTTGCCCAGTGAAATAGGCTTCTTGTAGAGATGGGGCCTTAGATGGAATCCTGAAGCCCATACAGAACCTTCTGCAAGTGGGACATTCCCACTTGACAGGACATGCAGCCCAACCCAGAGTGGCAAGATGAACGGAAGATACTTCTTGAAAGAAAGACCAGCAGGTAAAAAGGGAAAAACAAAACAGTAACAAAAAAAAGATTATCTAGCTATTATAAGAACAAGTAAGTTGTTTGCCTGGGAGCCATCAGGGCAAGCCATTAAGTCACTTTAGGACAAACCTTGTTCTAAGACTGAAACTCAAAGGGAACAACGGGCAGGCATGTAATAAGCGTTGTTCTACTTGTGAGTTGATGTGGGGAAAGACAGTAATAAAGATCACGTTCTATGGATTCCTGTCAATCTTGAGATAAGAAAGAGTAGGAAGGGCTGGCTGATCTGAAGTTTGGGGAGTCTTGGGAACCACTGAGCCGATAGTCACTGACCTGGCCACTGGGGGCTAGAGTTGAGAGTAAGCTGTACAGCTTATATTAAGTGTGTGTGTAGGGTGTTGCAGAGGAACACCCAAGCTTGTAGATAGTACCTATTTGACCTAGGTTGGATGGCTTGATGATCAAAACTCAACTAGAGGAAGACAAAGAAATTTGGTACAGGAAGCAAGTGTATAAATTGCTACAATTTGATGGACTTGACCTCATCTTGTAGATGTAGTAGCACAAAATACCAACCGAGAGGAAAGGAGTCTTCAAATCAAGGATCAGGCATATCCCTTCAGTACACAAGGTTTGACAGGGATGGGCAACTCAGACATTGGCTACCTAAAATGGAGGGGCTATAAAATGGCTGTCCTACAAGTTTTCAAGAGGGAATTTAGTTTCAGAGTGAATGGGGGAAGGTAGAATACCCACTGAACAATTTCCATCTTGTCTAGATGGGTCAAGTGAAAAGAGACAGGGATAGGATTCTTTTGATTTAATAGTGAGTAACTCCTCGGAAACCCTAAACAGGGTCGCGATCAATACGATGGCACTTAACAACAACAACAACAATTGTTATCATGGAGTCCTGGTGTGGCGCTGTAGGTTAATGCGCTGGACTGCAAAGTCATTTGAGCCACAAGATTGGCAGTTCAAGCTCACCAGCTGCTCTTCAGAAGCCCTATACAGGGTCACTATGAGTTGGAACCGACTTGGTGACACTTAACAAAAACAACAATTATCATGACTAATTGTGATTGTCACAATTGTAAAGTTAGAAGATGTGTAACAAAAAAAAGGGGGGGTGGGAGTGGTTGATCTTGCATTCCAGGAACAGAGGACCCTGGGACTAGCAAGAGGAAAGAACAGAGGCGGAGCATGGGACCCTAACCAGAGAGGCAGCAACACCAGAGTTGGAGGCAGAGACAACAACGGCATGGAGAGACACAGCAGTTGGGGACTCCAGACTCATGGAAAGAGAAAAGCTGTGTGCTGATGGGCTGGGGTGGCTTTGAAAAATGTGCTTTTTGGTTGTTTATACGACTAAATATTTCTACATGTTTTTGTGTGTATCAAAAAAGGAGACTGTAATCAATGAAGTGAAACAAGATGCAAAGCTGATGCTCTGCCCTGTAGTCTATCATTCAATTCACAAAAGTTGTTTTTTTAAAGAAAGCACAATTACAAACAAATGGACCTGCCATTAAGTTGCAGCAGCAAGATTCCTAAAGCACAAAACTTACTAAAAACCACTACTAGTGTTTCAGAATTCTAGGACATGAACATTTTACTTCTTCATGTTCTCCTCATTAAGGCTAAGAATTCATTGCTGAAAGCATTGTCAGTCTGAATGTGATTAATCAGTCAAGTAGCCAAATTTCTGAAACCAACTAAAGTGCATTCATTTTTCTAGACAAAAAATGTAAAATTGCAAGAATATAGGGGCTTTGGTTTACTATCATAGCTCAAGTACTTAGAAATGTCTGAGATATACATACCAAACAATTCTTTGTTGAATGAATGGACAGATTTCAATTAAAAGTTTAAAAATTGTTTTTAAAAACATTCCAGCCCTAGAATCCCTTAATAAGCAGTAAATATTTAAGCTCTGTTTTCCTCATTCCATATGGATGAGTTTTCTGACAAAATTTCCCAGGGATCTCAGATTTAAAGCTGACAACTTGCCAGTAGCCAAGGCTCACTTGGTATCTAGCATCTGCCAACATTTTTAACCATTGTTGATGGAACTTTCTCTTGTAGGATACGAGGTAGATTGTTGTCTCAGAGCCAATCTGTGGACTCCGATTTCTTACCTATTCTTGTTAAATTGGATGGCAAAGTCTGTCATGTGCTGCAGAGCTTTGTTGGTAAAATTCATTTCCATATAGATGTGCCCTTGGCGATGAGTGAATGTTCCTGAAATTTCCAAGCCTTTAGCCTTTACTGCAGGCAGCCAAACCTGAAACACAGTAGAAAGGTCAATGGAACCAACCACTGAGACAGTAATTTTGTCTCAATGATATTTGTCTATTAATAAAAAAAGATGAAATTACAATTTTTCATCTCCTTAGGGCATCTGGATTCAAGGAAAACTCATTAACAACCTGCAATACGCAGATGCTACAATCTTGCTTACTGGACGCGAAGAGGACTTCAAATAATTACTGATGATGATCAAAGACTACAGCCTTTAGTATGAACTGAACCTGAATGTGAAGAAAACAAAAATCCTCACAACTGAACCAATAAATAACATCATGATAAATGGAGAAAAGACTGAAGTCAAAGACTTGATTTTGCTTGGATCTACAACCAACGTTCAAGGAAGCAGCAGTGAAGAAATCAAAATGATGTACTGCATTAGACAAGTCTACTGCACAAGACTTCTTTAAAGTGTTCAAGAGTAAAGATGTCAGTTTGAAGATTAACTGCACCTGACCCAAGCCATGGTATTTTCAATTCAATAGCTTTCTATGTATGCAGAAGTTGGACAATGCATTAGGAAGACCATAGAAGAATTGATACATTTGAGTTATGGTGTTGAAAAAGTATACTAAAAGTACCATAGACCACCGGAAGAACAAACAAATCAGTGTTGGAAGAACTACAGCCAGAATGCTCAAAAGCCAGGATGGCCAGACTTCATCTCTCATACTTCAGACATATTTTCAGAAAGGGCCAGTCCCTGGAGAAGGACATTATGCTTAATAAAGTGGTGGTTGTTGTTGTTAAGTGCTGTCGAGTCAGTTCTGAGGGTCAGCAAAAAATGAGCAAGACCTCCTAATGAAAAGAATTGGTATAGTGGCAGCAGCAATGTGCTCAAGTGTAACAATTTTAAGGATGGCATAGGACTGAGCAGTATTTCCTTCTGCTGTGTATAGGGTTAATAATGAGTTGGAACCGATTCAATGGCATCTAACAACAGCAAAGAGAATTTTGATTTTTATACCATAAACACCATGTCAAATGCAAACAGTTCTGGAAAAAGTCATATTTGAAAATATTTGAAATCACATTGAATGATTTAAGAACTGAAAAAAAAAATTCTATAGGTAACCCTGGGTTTCCATTTCTTTTAAATTTGGTCATTTCATGGGGCTGGGGGGCGAGCGGGAGCACTATAAAGGCATGAAGCAGCTGACTTACAAGTTTTCAAGAGGGAGTTTAGTTTTAGAGTGTGTGTGGGAAGGTAAAATCCCCACTTAATAGTTTTCACCTTGTCTAGACAGGTCTGGTGAGGACATGTTTCAATAGTGAGTCATTGTTATCATACCTAATTGCGATGATCACAACTGTAAAGACAGAAGTTGTGTAATAAAATAAGGGGGGGGGGTAGTTAATCTTACATTCCAGGAACAGAGGACCCTAGGACCATCAAGAGAGAAGAGCATGAGCTGAACATGGGACCCTAACCAAAGCAGCAGCAACAACAAAGATGGAGGCAGAGGTGATGGCATGGAGAGATTGAGCAGCTGAGGACTCCAGAATCATGGAAAGAGAAAGGTTGTGTGCTGGTGGCCAAGAGGCTGGCTTCTAGAATATACTCTTTAGTTGTTTAAACCATTATCTATCCCTGCATGGTTTTATTTTTTTGGGACATCAAGGGAAAAAAAAGAGAGAGAGAGAGAAAGGAGGTTTTCTTGATTAAAATAATAATCTATGATGGTTTAGGGGGAAGGAGGAAATGATACAATACACGCCTTCACATGGGTGATGGGGCAAGTAATATACAACCCAAGGGAGGTTGGCAGAGGAAAGATGGGGGTGGTGGGAGACAAAGAGAGGAGTACAGTGGTTAAAGTGAATAAAGGTAAATACTGCTAACTGTTGGTGCATGGAGGGGATTGCAATCATATAACAAAGCAAAGCATTTGATTTGTTGAATGCAAAACTGATGAATCTGCCCTATAAACCTTTACTCAATTCACAATAAAAATTTAAATTAAATTAAAAAAAAAAGAAATTAAAGCGATCTGATTTGGAAAAAATTATTTGGTCATTTTACTACTTTTTAGTATTGATATCAAACACACACACACACATATACATACAAGGAAGAGAAAGGAATTCCAATGAGCATAACATGTTTTTTTTTTATTAGCCATTTTGGTAAAGTTTTTAAATGGAAAAATTCAATCTATTAATAAAAATGTCAAGTATGTAATCTTTGAAGACTATTTCATCATTACCAAAATTACTGTCAGTAATCCCCTTAAAGGCAAGGTCCATATCTTTTAACTCTTGCTGTTCTTATTTGTTGCAGTTAAGCAGTGTAGAGTAGGTTCCAATTCACAGCAACTTTGCACAGGATTTCTGAGGAGCAAGTGACAGGTGTGAACTCCCAAAATTTCAGTCAGCAGTCCGAAACTGTTGGCAGTTAGCAGTCGGAAAGATTGGTGGTTCAAACCCACCAGCCACTCCTTGGAAACTCTATACACGGTTGCTATGAGTAGGAACCAACTAGAAGACACTTAACAACAGCAAGAGATGACTATAGGTAAGATATGGTTCTGCTGTAGTTTGTGGTAAATGGTAAGCACTCAGCTGTTGCTTAAATAATCTGAATGTCTACTCTATATATAATTCATTCATTATTTACCCCAGGCTCCAGAACCTGTGCTCCTCCTGGCCTATCACAGTAACAAAACCAGAAAATTCATGAGCAATCCTGATCACTGTAACAGAATACTGAAAACTCTGTGGGTGGTACAGCCAACCACACTAATCAGGATCACAATAGAAGGCCCCAGGCAGAGTGGGAGAAAAATGTAGCACAATATTCAAAAATCACTAAAATAGACCACACTTACTGGTCTGACAGAGACCAGTGGAATTCCTGAAGAAACTATGGCCTTTGTACACTTTTTAAACCTGCAGCAGAAATTGTCTCTGGGGTCAGTCACCTTTTAGTCAAACAACAGACTATATAGTGAACAATAATGCATACCCATAAGGAATGTACTCCTCAGAACAAGCAATCATAAAAGACCAAAAGAGCAGTCTTTGCCCTAAAGCAAAGCTTAGGAAGCAGTAAGGAGGCAGGAGAAAAGGACAAATGAAAATGGGGAACCCAGGAAGAAAATGTTGTTATATTGAGGGGGTTGCAACCAATGTCACAAAACAAAACAAAAAATGTATTAATTGTTGGATGGAAAATTAATTTGCTCTGTAAACTTTCACCTAAATTACAATACATTGTAACAAAATAAAAATTAATTTTTGTGGATGAAAAAAAGAAAAGAAAACTTAAATCAAACACAAGATAGCATTTTCATCTATTGTTGTTGTTGTTAGGTGCCATCGAGTCGATTCCGACCCATAGCGACCTTGTATAAGGTTTCCAAGGAGAATCTATTAAAGGATAAAAAAATTGAAAAGAATAATATTGTTGTTAGGTGGTCATCAAGTTAGTACTGACTCATAGCAACTTTATGCACTACAGAATGAAACACTGCCCAGTCCTGAGCCAATATAGTGGAGAGAATATGAGGAACCTGGCATTCTTGAATTTACTGCTAGGTTTTTGGAGGACTAATGTTGGTAATGTCTATTTTAAAATGTTAAATATATCAAGCAAAAAAAGAGGAAAAAATTATCAAGCAAATTACAAGTTTACCTTATGGATACAGTTACAAAAATACAAGTGCCAGTATATACACATGCAACAAGGATGTTCACTGCAGCATATAACAATAACACAAAGTGGGAGGCAGGCAAGGGGAATAATCCAAATGTCTACCAACAGGTGAATAACAATGAGTAAGTTATGGGACAACAATACAGTGCATGCAGCCATTCAAAAGAACATGGCAGCAAGTAAAAAAACAAGCTACGAGAGAGTAAATCCTATTGGCATAATAGTTTTGATTTTTAAAAATATTTGAAATTGTGGTAAAAAATATATAACATCAAGTTTGCCATTTTAATCAATCTTGAGTGTGTAATTGAGTGACATTAATTACACTCACAGTGTTGTTCAACCATCACCGTTATCCGGTTCTAAAGCTGTTGCATGACCCCAAACACAAACTCAGTACCCATTAAGCAATAACTCTCCATCTCTCCCACTCCAGACTCCACTAACTACTAATCAACCTTTTTCTCTGTACATTTGCCTATTCTAAACATTTCCTGTGAGGGCATAGTATTTTTAAAGATAAAAACATACAAGTATATCATGGTCTTTTCTTTTTCTTCTAAAAGGTAATTTAACAGAGACTCTCTGCATAAATGGGGACAGAGAGATTTAATTTTCCAATGTGTATTTCTGTACTACTTAAAATTTGGCATTTATATACTCTTACATTAATAAACAAATGCCTTAGATAGGATTTTAACTACAAATTAAAATCTGTGGGGTTTTATAATATTCAAGGCAAGGTCAAAAACAAGCTCTACTTAACTAAGACTCACTTGACCGCCTTGCATTTTCCTTCTTGATCTATACTGGACAAACTTTAGAGATATACAACATAGCAAATGTCACAACAGAATTACTGAGATGTGCCAAAGAACCATGACTTAGTTTGTTTTTTTTTCATGACTTAGTTTTGAATCGTATGTTTTAGTTTCTCTAAGCAATAAGCTGTGAATACATAGATATGAGTGTTTTAATAGATAACTGATCAACATCTCTATATCCAGGAATTAGAGAATTTAGGAAGTAACAAGGCATGTTGGTACTCAGGCACATAAGGCAGTACAAAACTTAGCATAAGGAAATATATGGGTAACACTATTCCCAAGGTCTTAAAAGAAATTCATTTGTAGAAAGGAGTTTCCCCCTTTTGAATTTCAATCTGAGTGACATTCAGTAAAGGTTGACACTAGAAGAGATTCAGAGATACAAACCTAAATGAGAATTCTAAAATGACACAATAAAAGCCATGAAAACCAAATCTGAGCAATGGCACAATAGAACCCATGTGTAATACCAATGGGAAAAGTGCAATGAAAAGTCAAAATGTTACTTCTTATACTGTATTTCCTTCTGTTGGTGCACTGTGTACCAGGTTTTCACTACATTGATTTAATAGTGCTGACAAACTAGACAATATTTTTAAGCATAGGAATAAAACTCACAATAGCATTTCCAATTTTTAATTTAATTAATAAAAATGGTTAATGAGTATGCTAATAGCACTTCCTCTTGCTAACTCTGAGGTCACCTTTCCTCTGCTTCTTAAATCCTCCAGAATAAATCCAATAAACCTTGGATTTATTATCAATGGAAGTAACACAAATGTGAGAAACCTAAGTAATCTGGGTCCTGTCTATAAGAAAGTGTTGCTTTGTTATCTCTTTACTTACAGCCTTAGGAGCCACATATCCACCAGGAGCCATGCCTATTCCTGTGGAGAGTTCAAAAAGGTCATTCAGACCACTGCTGACCACAGCAGGAGTAGGTGAGGGAGCAAAGGTTGCAGGCACTGATGATGGGATGAAGGACTGCCCAACCTACAAAAAACAAAAAGGGAGGACAAGGAGATCAGGAAGAACAGATTTACATATTGCTATATCTTTTATTAACATTGATAGATCAGTAATGAAACAATATTCTAAGGAGCATAACGTTGTGATGAGTTGGAATTACTCGACGGCAGTGGTTTTGGTTAAGAGTTGAATTAGTATGCTCTTCGCCTTTTTAATGATCACAGTTCTTTTACATCACTAATAAAAGGGCTTTACTCTTCACAGATACACACTCTTTATAAGCCCTGTCAAGAGAGGGTTATTTAGTAAGGTAGAAGAACACAGTGATTCAAGAGTTTGTTTCCAATTTTAGCTTCCATGATTCTGTGCAAAAGGCGTATAGGTACCCTAACAAAGGGAAAATTTGTTTTTATTATAGAGGAGAAACATCCAACTTAGGCAGTAATTCCATTTCCACTTGGGTTCAGCCACATCTTACTTTCCCAATTCAGGCATAAATATATCTACAAGGAAGCTCTAGATTACACCCCAAACTCACTCACTTATGAGGAAAGCCTCATTCTGAGTCCATCTGACTTTCTCAAGTTCTTTCTAGATGATACCAGGAAATAAGATCATTCTCCAGTCAAGATAGGAGATTCCATTTCCTTTAGCTTTTTAATGTCAGGAAGACAAAGATCTCTGCAGACATCAGAATGCCAATCCCTAAAGATGCCAATAATCCAAATGCAGCAAAGATTCCACATAATCCTACACTACTTTCTATTCTTCATATACTCCTAAAGAGGTTTTGGTATGTAGTCCCAGATAACAGCAGTGGCTGGTCTGAGAATATGTCTATAGGAATGGAATCAAACAGGGGGCAGCACTTCCCATGGTGAAAAAAATGGATGGCACTTACTGCCGGACTTCCTCCAATGCCCCCGCCAAGGTCACTGCCAAGCTGAAAGAGAGAAAGGAGAGAAAGGAGAGAGAGGTAGAATTCATTTAACTAAGTACTGGATGACCATATAGAATCTGTAAATTGTTCTACTAGTTGCTGGAAATACATGGTACTCAATTTGTCTCCCAAAGCATAATGAAAATTGCAAAAAAATTTGAGTATGTTCTAGAGGGGATCAACTGGTGGTAGTGATGGTACATGGGAATTTTGGGGGGAGGGGGGAAGCACTTGGAAAGAAGATGGCACTGGGACATCTTAGGGATGTTTCAGGTCCAATCTTTCCATAAGAGTATGTAGGTACAAACCCAAACAAGGTTTAAAGAGTCTGCATATTCCAAGAAACTATCTTCAAGCAATAATGTATGTTACAGCACCAAAATGTGCTTTGATTTACCAAACCTGCTATGCCCTACTGAGATGATGAGACCAAACCAGTACTGAGCTGAAATTTCAAGCTTCAACCATTACAGATGGTACAAAAATTACTTTCATAATTTAGAATTTTTCTAAAAAGAAGACCGCTGGGATAGAAAAGTATCCTACCTAAAGGAAGAAGTGAGAAAACATGCAATGCTTCAAATCTCTCTCATTGACTACTACTAAGGTGTAATAAGCTATTTATTGAAGTAAGTAATTTAAAAAAAAGAATACTAAGTACTGGAGAATTAGACTAAATGAATTAGTTGGCAGACAGGAAAATAATTCCACATGGTCTTACGCCTGCTTTTTTTCTCCTCCAGGCTCTGATATAAATCATGCTGAAGTCAGTTTTTCATGAGAAAAGCATTCAGGAAGAACAGAAGCTGAAAACAGTTCACATGCAATAAACTTAAATCATACACATCATGTACAACTACCTGCTTAAAAAGCAAAATAGATTCCCCTTTTTGGGGGAAGAGGGAGGACTTACAGTTGCACATTTGCTTTCTTCCTATTCTCACTGGATGCATTTATAGCTCCTCTTTGAATCACCAAATGCCTAGTTTGCTCTACAACTCTGGTTCTTTTATTGTCTGCTATTTAGTGATAGATTTGGGAAAGAGGATTTGTCACCGCAATGCAAGTAGATAAGTAGTATATAAAACAGGGTTGCAAAAAACTAAAAGAAACAATATATAGAAAAGTAGTGAAACCTATGACAAAAAGCTATTTCCACTGTGGCATAAAGTAAATATGAGCAATGGCTTCCTAACTGGCATTAACAAGTATTTCTGCACTAAACTACAGAGCACCCCAAAACAAAGAGCCAACATTTCTGGAATCTGGTGCCTGAAACTATGCAATGATTGGGCATAAGATAAAAAGTAAATGCTTAGATAAATAAAAAGGTCATTACAACCAAGAATTCATTTAACTAGGAAAGTGTGAAATCAAATAAAAATGATATCACACATTTACAGCAAGACATCTGAAAAGCATGAAATACATTTAATTCAAATATTTATATAGTATTTCTGGCTACAAGGCACTATGAGAGATGTAATTCCAGCAAAGAGTAGAATATATACAGGAGCACCTTGTTTACTATGCTTAGTGCTATTGCCTCTGTAGATACTGCAGTTTTAAGGAATTGACAGTTTGTGGCAACCCTGTGTTGAGCAAGTCCATCAGCACCCAACAGTATGTGCTTACTTTGGGTCTCAGTGTCACATATTTTGGTAATTCTCACAATATTTCAAACTTTTTCATAATGCGGTTGTACATTTAATAGATGACAATATAGTGAAAACATAACTCTTATATGCACTGAAAACCAAAAATTCCGTATGACTGCTTTATTGCAACATTCACTATTTCCCAGTAGTCTGGGACTGAACCTTCAAAGTCTGCCTGTATATAAATTAAGACCCAAGTTTTACAAACTGGCTAGGGAAATAAAACATGAATGCATTATGATACAGAATATGTCAAAGCCAAAAAGGAAATTCTCTTTCTGGTTAAAGAATAATGAAGACATTTTCAGAAGAGGCAGGCAGTGTTAGAGAAGAGTGGGAAATAAAAACTAAAACTGGGGAGGGGGTATTCAAAGAGCAGAAACAAAGGCAGTATGATCAGGAAGAAAGAACAATCTAATTAGGCTGAAGTACAGAGTGTGTTGTTGTTAAGAGCCATTGTGTTGGAGCTGACTCATAGTGACTCTACATAGGCTTTTCAAGAAGCAGCTGGTGAATTTGAACTGCCGACCTTGCATTTCAAAGCGACCTTGCAGTCCAGTGCATTATCCTGTAGTGGCAAGTAAGACTGATAATGGGAAATTTAAAATTGTTCCTGCAAAAAAACCTGGAGGTTTCTTAGACTAAGATTCAAAGTTTCTACGAATACTGATAACTACCTTCAATCATGCTCCGTGAACTATAGTTTCAACTTTAGATACACAATTGAATCAATCAGTTAAGGGAGGTTTTAAAAAATACTGATTGATGCCTGAGTTTCATCCCCTGAGACAAATTTAATTGTTCTGGGGTGTTCTTGGGCACTGGGATTCTGAAATAATGACTTTTTGCTCTCTTCATGTATGATGTTCTTGATGTCATCCCACAACTCTTCTGGTCTTCTGTCTTTAGTGTTTAATTCATCAAATCTGTTCTTCAGATGATCTCTAAATTCAGGACGGATAAATTCAAGGTCATATTTTGGCTCTTGTGGACTTGTTTTCATTTTCTTCAGCTTCAGTTTGGGACTTTGGATCCAGAGAGGGAAAGGGACTGTGGGTCGAAAAGGGGTGGGGGGGGTGGGGGGTGGGGAGAAGTATAGGGGGCGGGTTTCTAGGATATACCCTTTGGTTGGTTGATGATGCATGGAGGGGATTGGAATCATGGCAATTAGATGATATACGATGGAATGAATGTAAAACTAAATATCTCTCATGTAAACTATCATATAATTCACAATAAAACATTTTTTAAAAATGCATGCTATCACACACTGTAAGCTCCAAGATACCAGCGCTTAAACATAAACACGCCATGTTTATGCTGCAGTTTCAAATGTACCTTGTACTCTACTCTGCACTGAAGAAACTGTGTGGTCTAGTTTAAGAAGGACCAAAATTAGGTGAAACTGAACTGTATTTTAAACAAACTGAAAGACTTACAAAATGGGGAAAAGATAAACTCTGAGTTCTTTAAGAAGTCCTGGGTTCAAATTTCAAATCTGTAACTTACTAGCAATGTAATCTTCAATTGTTCTATAAAATGGAACTTAACACAAATATTTTGCAGGACTGTTTTGAAGATAGAAATTACAAAAATACTAACTCAGGGACTGGCACATAAATTGGCATTCAATAATTGGGAATGGTCCCCAATATTGCTTGAGGCCAGCTATCACTAAACCTTTGCAATGATTTTTAAAAAGGATTCCGTGGCTATAGAAGATACACTGCACTGGAGATTTTACTGAGGAAGGGCAACAATTTACCAAGTTCTCTTTACAGCACCACTTACTTTAAAAACGAAGTTCTTAAATCACTGCACTAATAATATGTGCAACTGACTTCTTGTGGGTTTAAATGACTTAAGTATCTGAAAAGACTGTAAGAAACAGGACAGAAGGTTTTGAAAAACATATACTGGAGTCCATGAAAAGGCGGCTTCTACTCTACTCCACTCCTCTCCAACTAGACACACAGAGCATATTTCTCTAGCATGAAACCCTTTTTCAGCAAAGAGAAAGGGCAGGCACTCTAAATAAGGTTTCCTTTCCATTTTTGATGCAAAATAGTAGCATTTATCTAAACAGAATGATCCCCAGCACCTAGAACGAATAAAAGGTTATAATTTAGCCATGGCCTTTGCTGACAGACAGAAAGTAAAAGGCAGCCAGTATCCTAATTCAACTGTTACTTCAGCAGTAGTCCTTCCAGACATCATGAGTAACTAGCTCATGTGCATCCCTATAACAGGTATATAAAAGTAATGCACACAGCATCTGGTCATCTTTCCTACTACAGCAAACCAGAAGGTTCTGCACTAAGAAAAAATTACACAACCCTAGACTGAACAATTTATTAGATTACACATCAAAAGTATCAAAATTACATATAGGGGCTTCAAACAATTGTGGAAAATTCCATTGTTCTTTAATTCCATTTTTCCATGAAATTTTAAAATCCTCCTCATATAAAGCTACTAAAGCAAAGAATCAAATCCAAACAATTACTTTTGCAAATGTAAACCTAAATAGCTTACTATTACACTTTACAGGTAGAACTTACCAGCCTTGTAAATTATGTTACTTGAATTTATTCCACATCAGGGCAACAGTCACATTTACACTAGCAAAAGGAGGAAACTATTTGTAGAATATAAACAAAACAAAAGATGCTGAAAGGCAAATGAAAAATAAGGATGGAAGTATTCCAGTAAAAAGACTGAAAAGAATATGTAGTAAATCCATTCTGATGCAAGTCTTATGATGAAGTATTCCATTTCCTAAATTTGGAGCTCTGCCTAATGCTTTAGAAGATTCATAATAACTTTAAAAAAAAAAACAAAAAAAAACCCTGTAAGAATCCCCTGGGAAGGCTGGTATGCATGTCTGTGCGTGTATGACTGTGTGTTTGCTTTTATGTCACAGCAATATCCCTGTATCATCCTCAGTTTGTCTAAGAGTCATTACTGATGGAAGTAGGTTGGAGACTTGGGTATGTTGTAATTAGTAATAATGACAATAATAACAAGGAATAAATTCATAATTAGTTCCTTGAATGACAGTTCTAAAAAGGCCCTGATTCACTAAATCTCAAAATGTGACAAATGGGATGATGAAAGAAGATGAGGTAGAATCAGATATAATGGGAGGATTTGCAGACTGCGTAAAGGGGAAAATACAACTATCTCTTAATTAAACTTTAAGACAGAGGGACAGAAAATAGGTGAATAATCTGAAGTACAAAATGCCCCAATTGGCAATCTCTATGGAAAGTGAACATGGATAAAGAGAGACCTGAGACTGAGGAACATACTCTAAATTAGTCAAACTCAACTTCCAGAAAATTTCTTAAAGGTCAGATCACCTAACAGAAAATCACAATGAAATACACCTTGAGGGAAAAGAACAATAGTCAAGTCAGAGATGTTAGTTTTTAGAGGAGGTGCCAAAGAGGCTCCCCAGAAGACTACCTGGCTACAAGTAGAGCCTATAATTCTTTGGAAATTACTGTCATTACTTAGACATCAATTCTTGGCATTTCTATTTTGCTCCATTTGGAATTTCATTTGTGTCAGTGTTCTCAACCCTAGCTGCAAAATTAGTATCAGCACTGGACTGTGAACCACAAGTTGGCTGTTCAAACCCACCAGCTGCTCTTTGGAAACCCTGTACAGGATTGATACGAGTAACAACAGGCCCTGTCTCCTAGAGATTCTGTTTAACTGCTCTAAGTTTGGGCCCAAGAATGGATGTTTTAAAAAAATATGGTACTAAGCACTATGAGTTAAGTGTTGGACTGCTAACGGAAAGGTTCAAACCAATCAACTACTCCACAGAAAAAGATGAGACTGTCTCCTCCCATAAAGATGTACAGTAGCTAGGAATCGGAATGAACTCACTGGCAGTAGGTTTTCTTCTCTGTGTGTGCGTTTTGATGTAGTACTCGGAGCCCTGGTAGCACAGTGGTTAAGCTGCTAACCGAAAGGTCAGCAATTTAACCTACCAATGGCTCTGACGGAGAAAGTGGCAATCGACTTCTATAGATTGTTTTAAATTTAATTGTGGTTTGGGTGAAAGTTTACATAGCAAATTGGTTTTCCATCCAACGTTTATACACATACTGTTTCAGAACGTTAACTGCAATTCCCTCAGTGTAAGAGCTTCTTTTTCCTCTTGGGTTACTGCTTTCATTATTCCTTCTTTCTTGCTCCTTTCTACCTTCAGGGTTTGGTTGGGGGGCGTGTGCTGCTCTTATGGTCTTGTATGCTTGATTCTTCTGGGTACATTCCTCACAAGTATTACTATTCACTTAGTAGACCTGTCTATTCTAATCCTCAGGTGTGGTTCAGCTCCAGGTCTGAAGGGTGTCTAAGGGCTACAGTCTGGGGGAATTTCCAGCAGTCTCTAACAGGCCAGTAAGTCTGCTCTTTATGATTTTGAATTTTGTTCTACATTTTCTCCCATTCTATCCAGGATTTTCTGTGATCCTGATCAGAGAAGTCAGTAGGGTTAGCTGAGCAACATTTCAGAGCAGTAGTTACCGTGGTTTGCATGTTCCATTAGTTCTTTGGACGGTTTCCTTAAGTCTTTGATTTTTTTTAAAATAACCACTCTTTGCTCCAGATGGATGCGAACTAGTTTTTAAGACCCCAGTTGATACTCACCAGAGTCAGCTGTAGAACACTGTTGACTGGTTGATTACATAGTATGTAAATAGGCTTAGTTATTCCCTGAGACTGTGGTCCTAAACTCCCAGTCCAGTGACTCATTCCCTTAAGATATTTGGTAATGACTAAGAATGATTCCATATACAGCCTTGGAAACCTTTTGGGCAGCAGTTCTACTTGATCCTTAAAGATCACTATGAGTAGGAATTAACCAGAAGAGCAACAGGTTTGGTTTGATTTTTGGATTTAATGTGGTACTAATTATGGAGTCAGAGTCCTGGTATGGCAATGCAGGATAAGCACTGGACTGCTAACTGCTAGATTGGTGGTTCAAACCCACCAGCTGCTCCCCAGAAACTACACATAGTCACTAACAATTGGAAGCAACTTAATAGCACTTATCAACAATCATGCAGCCAGGGTTAAGACACAAAACTCAAAATAAGCTGGTTAGTGGCTCCTTCATTAGCAGCACACCACTGACCTCTACAGGTAAGGCTGTTAGAAACCCATTATAAAGGCAGCAGCAACTGTCTAAATTATTACTAAGCTAACCTGAGTTCTGCCTGCTAGACAACCATAGAATTCTAACTCTGGCCATATTTTAAAGGGGAGCCTGGGTCAAATTCTAAGACTCCTAGCAACACTATTCTTCTTGGAAAGTAAAGAAAGACCTTTAACCAAATCTCAAGAATTTCTCAAGTTGGGAGGAGTATCTTCCCAGGACAAAGTTTATTTTCTTTCTAGAGTTTTTTTCTAACTGAAGTAATACGTGTGGTAATTTTAACATATGACTGGATAGCTATATTAAAAGAATAGACTGGGTGGGGGGGGAGTTTGGGAGTCAACAAGAGTTCATTAACATTATTTCCTTCGTTCTATGCTATAGTTGGTAAAGAGATGAGACTGTACAGTCCTAGTTCTGGCAACATCAAAACACAAAGCCTCCTTGTATCCCTCTGCATGTCTATAGCCTAATTCCTTTGACATCTTTAGGTTCAATTAGTCCACTTATAGTAAGTCAACAGGGCAATATTAAGTAAATTTGTTAAGGCATAAACTTGAAGAGAATGCAAATATTCAACTTATGGTTGCTGTGTCAGTAGAATGAAAAGGGCTATTTTGTTTATACATATATTTTTAAGGGATTTCTGGGAGCCTCCATGAACATTTAAATATTTGTTGATCTCCTGAGTTTACAAGGAGGCTATACAAAAATGCAGAACAATCATATAAAAAGTAATTCTGCTTATCATGAGCAGCCAACTCCATTAAAGGTATGAGTATCAAAAGCAAATGCTTATATTCCCAAGAAAGGCAAGAGTGCTTATTTTCTTCAATATAAGCTGAAGTCCAGAGCACAGTCAGTGGCTTTGATTAGTAAAACACAACCCAGATATATGACTATAATCCTGTTTCCTTACATTCTCTGCCAGTTAAGAAATAATGCACCTGTACCAGCTGGCATGAATGCCAGGCACAGTACTGCTCATAAATAAAAGAGAAGATGCCAGTGTTTGTAGCAGAGAATGAGAATGCTTTGTTTATGAAATCGCAGAAAATATGTATTTTCATATCTATGACATCTGCCTTCCAATTTCTGATGTCGGGAAATAAATCAATTGGTTGGGAATCTTTATAGTCATCACGTTGACAAACATCTTATTTGTGTGTAGCTAAAAGCATCTAATTCCACTATAATTACTGTCTAGTTTTCAGGGAGCCATGTGATGGTAAAACCTGTTAATTTTTCTGGCCATCTCTGAACAAATGAAAGGTCATCCTAAAAAGCTCTCATTTAACTTGTATAACAACAGAAAATAATCTGGGTTCCCTTTGGTTGCACATATTCACCAATACTATGGAAGTAGGAGCCTTTTAGTACTAGAATCCTGGAAGCTAATTAGATTGGAAGTAAGATTGGGAGGTGAGGGAGAAGTGAAGAAGAGAAAAAGAACCAATGAAGCCATTTTCCCAACTGTAATAAAAGGTACATTTTATACACAAATGGTTCAAATGTCCACCTCAAAACCTTTTGAAATTAGACAAGGCATACCCCACTGCCATCGGGTCCATTCTGACTCACAGCAACTCTATGTACGGCGTCTAAGGCTGTAAATCTTTCTCCCTCAGAGCAGCTGGTGGGTTTGAACTGTCGACCTTGCACTTAGCAGTCCAGTGCTTACCCAACAGTGCCAATAGGCCAATAAAATATACAAAAGGCTTGAAAAGCTTCAACATAGGGGCTATCCAGAGTTAAAAACCAAAGAAGTAATAAGCTCTGGAAAGGATACGAAAGCAGTAAGACTGCTGAGCAATAGGTTGGGGTTAAACACAAAAAATTCTTATTTAGAGACAGGGCCACGAACATTCCTGTATAATTGTAGGTATACCCCATACTAATGATGAGCAATATTATAATTAACTCTCTAGAAAGACAAATAATACAGTCCTTTATCAAAGGATACTACTGCTTATCAAAAGCTCTAGTCCTCAAATGCTGAATAAAGTCATCTAGCATATGAAGAAAAACAGCCACAAGAAATGGGGAAGAGAGGTGCTTACCAGACTGTCTAGTCCTCCTCCCAAGAGATCCACTGCTCCCATCTGCATGGAGGACACCTGTGGCACATTGACTGGGGGACCAAGGTCAAGGTTCAAAAGGTCCCCAAGTAGGTCACCTTGAGAGGGTATGACCTGAGTCTGTTCCAGGTTGGTTGCAGTGGTGGTGCCAACAGGACTGTCTCCAGCATCAGTGCTGTACACGCACAAAAGACAGAAGTGGAAAGTCAGGAGTAACTAAGACAGAATAAGGTATATGACGATAAAACTGGGTCATTATACATCCATTAAAAAACAAAAACAAAAACAAAAAGATAATCCCAGCCCCAGAGTCGGCTTCACTGAACTTAAAACACATATAATGAAAAAACAACAGTATCTTACATATACTCTAAAAGAGAATACAAAATGGTAACTGAAAAAATTTAAAGGTTTTCAGATCGCTAACTGAATAATATTAAAGAACTATTTACAATTTTGCTAGACTGAATACATTGTGATTATTTTTTAAAAGTCCTTATCTGTTAGAGATGCCAAGTAAAGTACTTATAGGTGAAATGATTATGATGTCTGGGATTTGATATAAAATACCCAACACCTGTGATAAAACAAAACTGACAAAATATTGATAATGGTTGAAGTTGAGAGTGGATACATGTTGAATTTGCTATTTGTCTATCTTTCATGCTTTATCATATTTATCGACTGAAAATTAACAAATACATTGCAAAAATTTCAATTAATAAACAAGTGTTTTTCTAATAACGAAACAAAGGAAAAAGTACCTCAGTAGGTTTCTATACTACCTGAAACAAAGGAAAGCATTAAAAAATTAAGAAGCAGAAGATAAGTGATGTTCCTAATAATTACAAGGGAATCTGAAGGAATGGTACAAAGAATAACACTCTCAGTTCTCATTCTGCTAGCTTTCAAGTAAGAAAAACAGACAAGTCCAACAGACAGCAAAAGTCAAAGACTGGCAGTCAGAATTAGTGAGGTAGACTTGGAAAGAAATTCAAAGACACATCTCTGGTAAAATACCCAGAGCAATGGGGAGAGGTGTAGAGTGGCAAAGGCAGGAGACATCCAGCATCAGAAGACTGAGATCAAATGCTGGCTTCAATTACTAGTTGCACACAACTTCTCTGAGATAAAGTTTCCTATCAATAAAATATTAATAATGTAACCAAAATATCTGATTATATTATAGTGAGGATCAAATGAGAACATAATATAAACTGCAAAGCTTTATAATACATCAGTGGTAACTGTGCTTAGTAAAGCCTCCCTAAGGAAGCACAAAAATGGAAGGTTCAGAATGAGCCTTGTGGTACCACAACAATTAATGACCTAGAAAAGAGCAAACATGGAATTGTAGATTAGAGAAAAACACTTCTAAAAAATGACTTAGAAGGAAAAAGCATCAAGGAAGCCAAGATGAGATCCATCTAGATGGAGAGTTAAATATGAAGAAAGATTTCAAAAGGGGAAGTTATCTCATATACACCTGACAAGAAATAAATGAAATCTCCATAAAGGATATTTTCCACTCATGAAATTCCATCATTTCTTGACAAGTGTCATTTAGGAAATGTGATACGATACATGGATTTATTAGCACCTCTAAATAGAAGGCAGAATAGGTAATGCTTTTTTTTTTTTTTTTTTTTTTTACTAAAATGGAGAGAAAAGATAAAGTGAGTTAGATAAAAAGAGGTAAATGATCTTGTAGTCTCTACAAGTTAAGAACTTGATAATTTATTACCATGCATTCTTTCTAAGTAGAATGTATAAGAAAGTTAATATGGAAGCTTTGCTACAAATTGCCATTCAAGCAGTATTTTTAAAATGTGAAATTTCCTACATTAAACACGATTTATTAACTCACCCTCACTGAACAAGTGATAAGTACATGTCAGTAGGAACGTCCAAGTAAAAAGGATTTCTCTCTTTTTCAACTATTTCTGAAAGATCTAGGTCTTTTAAAGCGCTAGAAGTGGCCGATAAGATTTTAAAGTAGGGCTTTAGTTCATGTTAGCAGTATCGCACTATTAACCTGACAGTGTAGAGACAGTGAGGTAATGCCTATACTATTATAGCTACACTGTTTGTAGCAATGTATCAGTCCCAATTATATTAAAGAATTAGTGTTTCTTTAAAAACAAACATAAAAGATAAGCACTGAGGTGCTAACCTCAAGGTCTGTGATTCAAACCCACCAGTTGCTTCTTGGAAACCCTATTCAGGGTCGTTATTAGTGGTGACTGACTTGAGAGCCCTTAATAATAGCAATCAGATACAGACCTTATATAAGAGATTGTTTCTGTTTTGTTGTTTTAAAGTTTAAACACTGGTTCTCTTTCCTTGTATTGGAGAAGTTTTTTTTATTTGGTTTTATTAATCTGCCCCCTTCCATTTGAGGATCAAAAAGAGAGAATGCTAGATTAAGTGGCACATAAATGTGGTTAAAGAGGCAAATTACAACTGAAAATTTATCTATATAAAAACTGGAAGCACAGATTAGGAAGTGTCCAGAGCATGTCAAGTTTGCTTGCTTACACGGGAGAACAAGAGGTCATTCATGAATCACTTACACAGCAATGTAAATTACACAATGGCACAAGACATCCATTAATGGAAGTCCAATTAATTACTCAAGCCACTCTGGGATCAATTTTCACTCAGACTTAAAGTTTCCAATGATGCATGAAGGAAGGAGATTCTAAAAAGATCCTGAGATAATCATTAAGAGTTTATCACACCTATGGAAGCA